TTTGAAGAGGAAATCTTCTTTGATGTGGAAGTTTTAATAATTTCCAACAAGTCTTTGTTGCCTTGCCACTTGGAAATCAGGATCCTCGACATTCATTCCCCGTATTAGTTTGAAACCCACAACTTTAGCTTGCAAAACTGATGGAATAGCTTGCCGGTGGCTTATAGCATCCACTACTTGATTAGAGAGTCCCAATTTGTGCTTGAGAGTAAACTGAAAGGCTCAAATATATTCACTCCATGCGGTGTGTGTCTTCTTTTTGATGTATTTTGATTTTAAAGATATTTAAGGGCTTCATGATCTATAAAGGGGACAAATTCATTAGTTAAATGATAATGACTCCAATATTATAGAGCCTTTATGATCAAATAGATTACCTCATCATATGTTGACTATTTCTTTTTGGAGTCGTCGAGCTTTTCGCTAAAATAGGCTATGAGATGTCTTTGTTGACTAAGAACTGCTCCTATATCAATGTCAGATGCATCACATTCGACCTCAAACAAAAGATTAAGTGCGAAAGCTTTAAAATTGGAGTGGTACATAGGACCTCTTTCAAGTGATCAAAATCTAGCCGGTGCCTATTGGGTTCAACATAGATGGACTGATTTGAGGAATTTTGTTAGTGGGGTAGTGATAGTACTAAATTTCTTGACGAACCGATGATAGAAAGAGGTCGACCCGTGGAATTGCCAGACTTTCATGAAGGAGCTAGGAGTAGGCCAATCCCTTATAGTCGTAAATTTGTTGTAATCCACCTCTATTCCTGTTGCTGAGATCACAATTACCAAGAAAATGATGCAACCAACTACGAATTCACATTTTACCTTATTGGCAATAAGATGTGATCGTAGGACCTCAAAAATTCTTTGTAAATTTACAAATGTTCAGATTTATTAGAGCTATAAATCAAAATATTGTAGAAGTAAATCACCACAAATCTTCCCATAAAAGATTGAAAAACTTGATTCATGTGGTGCATGTGTTTAGAGCATTAGGAAGCCCGAACAACATCGCTGTATTTGGTGCTAATCACTTCAAAGGTCTATTTTGAAGAAAACTGCCTCCCCTTTTAGTTGATCAAAAAGATCATCCATTCGAGGAATGAGAAATTTATATTTGATAGTGGTTTTATTTATAACCTGACTGTCAATGCACATGTGCTACATCCAATTCTTCTTTGGAACCAAGAGAGTCGGAACAATGCATGGGCTAGCACTACTTCGCATCAAGCATGTGGATCAACTTTGGCGTTGAAGTTCCTCATGCTCCTTTGGAGACATTCTATATGTAGATTTGTTGGGGATGACCGAACCTGACACAAGGTCAATGGCATGTTGTACCTCTCTCATAGGAGAGTTCTGCAGGAATTTTTGTCGGAAATATATCTTTGAAGTTTTGTATCGATCCCCACACTTCAAAAGGAGTTGCCAGTAGTTGTCCAAAACACCCTCGAATATGATCAAGAGATACCCTATAATTGTCTTCTTAAGATCTTTCAAAAGCAATGAAGGAGTAAAAGTGTTGATTTCAATCCCCGCCTAATTCTCCTCCTTCATAGGCATCAACGTGGTTTGAATTCCATCTTTGATAAAGGAATAAGTGTTAGCATACCCATCATAAATTGTACGACGATCATATTGCCGAGGCCGACCAAGCAATATGCTACAAGTGTCCATAAGAATTACATCACATAAAATTTACTTCTGAAGTTTTCGATCTATCGAAATTGACACCATGCATTGCCAGGTGATTTTGATTTCAGCTCCCCTCTTGAGCCACATGAGTTGGTAGGGATGAAGATGAGATCGATAGTTAGCCCTAGTTTCTCCACCATGGTTGTTGCAACCACGTTCTCGCAACTTCCACAGTTGATGATAATGTTACAAACCATGTTCCAAACTGTGCACTGGGTTCTAAAGATGTTTTGTCGTAACAAATCTTTTTTTGAAGATTGTTCGACACTTCAGAGACATCTTGTCATATGTCATTTCTCTCATCCGCTTATATGATTTGGTCTTTCATTTGCTTAGTATCTTCTTCTTCTACCTCATCATTTTCTTCTAGATCAACCTTCTTCGTCAATGAAATAATGCATTGGTTAGGACAATTCGAGGCTGTGGTTGAGCACTTGAGCCCATGACATTTGAAGCATCGTATACCGGATGTAGTTCCTTGCTTTGCCGTGGTAGTAGTCTCTTGTGACTGGAAAGCAGTTTTTGACCACTGGCGTGTGCCCGAAATTGGACTGATTTGCTGGAATCACCCAAATCATTAGTAGGAATGCGTATCGGGGTGTTCCTGTACAATTTATGTTGCTTTTCAACCTTCATCGCCAAGTTAATAATGTTCTGTAATGTGGAGTTGAACCACATTAGCGATAGATGGTCATAGACCACCTACAAAATGTTTAATAGCTCTTTGGGTTCAGAAAGATTGTACTTCATCCCCAACTGTTCCAATTTAACAATATATTCCTCTACAGATAATTATTGTTGATAAAGGTTATGAAGTCAAATAAAGATTTCTTGTTTGTAATGTTTGGTAAAGATTTTTTGTTGCATTATTTCTTCGTTCTAGTTCAAAACTTGATCTTGGATCTTCTTTCTCTTTGTCGAATCATCTTCAAATTTTCCCATCAAAGTGAAGTGTTCTTCAATTTCATCGCAATTAGTTTGACGATATTTTCTTGTGGCACCTCCTTGAAGTCCAAAATTCGTTTAACTGTATGTAGCCAATTGACGAATTCATCAATGATCTAGTCTTCTATCAAAATCAGGAATGTAGATTTTGATTCTGAAATCTGGAGTTTCCGTCGATTTTCATGCCTCAACGTACAATGGTTGTTCATCATCACTAGATGTCTCTTGACGGAATGATTTTTCTTCTTCCTCGTCGATCACCTCATTTTCGGATTCATTTTGATGTTTTTTTGGATCTCGCTGTTCAAGGAGTGCCAATCTTTTTTGTAGACACGAATTTCTTGTTGCGATTCTTCCACAACCAAATCTTTGGGTTGGAGGGACATTGTTTCTCCTTGGCTGCATCTTCAATTGATTGTGGTCACCGAGAAAGAGAAAAATAACGGCTAGACCTAAAAGAGAATGGAAGGCTGTGACAATCGAAACCACAAGTTTCAGATCCTGGGATTACTGATCACAGTACCCGCAAGAATCCCTGCTGGAAATCTGCACAAAGAACCCCAAGAAAACAAACAAAGTTTGCAGCATGGCTTTTGTACTACGATTATTTAGTAATTTTCTTGGCCATGATTCCATATTAATGATGTATAATGAAAATGACACATTTCATTCACTATTCTTAGACTATGGATGTATATTATGTGTCAAAGCTGTTCTTAATGAAATTGCTTGCCTTTTCATATTGTCTTCCCACTTCCATTCTATGTGATGTGGATGTAAGATTTGTTAATTAGTTATAAAAATCTTATGAAAAGTTTGTGGTACACAGCTACAGTTTTAATCTGCCCTTCACCCACAAAGAGTTCATAAAATAGAAATTTTAAACACAAGTTTTAGAAATTGGTTATGTTGTCATATGGGTAATATCTTTGGTAGTTGACATTTATTAGTACTTATGATTGAGTTTGTTTATGATAATTCAATTAATATTGCCACTGGAAAATCTTTCCTTTCAGTTGTTCATGAATAGTATTCTAATTTTACCGAATCATTTGCTGAGCATGTGCATAAATTATATTTTGATATTAAATACATGCATTTGCAAAATTAAAAATATAAATTTGTGGTTGATGTTCATAAAAAATCAGAAGGTGATTGCAAGCTATATTTTCAAGCATAAATGCCACTTTCTCTCAACTCTATTCCATGGTCTCACGAAGATTAATTCAATCCTCATCTTCCTTTCTATGAACAAGTGAGTGAGTTATGAACTGGATGAAAGCTATTCTACCCTGGGGGAAAAAGAATGATAAATTAAGAGATCATTTCACTAACAGTAAATGTTTTTTTTGTCTTCCTTAATCACTGTTTTAGTTGAGCCTGTTTGAAGAAAGGCTATCAATTTTTTTCGGAAGATTTACATACATACCACTCAATTCGTATGTATTTACATTTGTAACCCCTAAACTAAAATTTTACATGCATAACACTTTATCTATGGATGAAAAGGTTTATTCCCCTTTTTAAATGTTAAAATGGTGATATTTTGATGTGATATAAAAGATTTGAATTGTATAATTGTAAAAATTAAAGTTTAGATATTAGATATGTATATCCATATGAATTGAGTGGTATGTATGTAAATGCCCCATTATTTTTTGTTCAAATAACCAAACTTTCATTATACATAAACTGAATCCAGAAAATGCGATTAATTTAATTTGTTAAACATAAAAGAACGGAGTTTGCAATCCCTTGCTTGATTCCTCATGGGATCATGCAATCACATGCGGGATCACTTCCTGCTGGGGCCAGTGGTATTTAATGAGCTTTCATGAGATGCCATAGAACTTTTCGGCCTGCTCTTGACCCTTAGGGTTGAGGAAAGGGATGCGGAAAAGGTGATCAAGTAGTGAATTGTTTTATATTTTGAATCATTAATTTAATTTTTTTGTTTTGAAAGGAAAAAAGTAAAACATTGACTTGAGTACCAAATCTTAAAGAAAGTGTCTTTTCCATTAAGGGGGTAAATGCACAAGACATTTACAAATTTTAAACCTTTGTATTCTCTTGTGTGTATTAACAATTGGCCATTGGGTAGGTATAACTAGTAATCACGAGTGAAATATATTTTGCATCTTTTGGGTTGTTTTATAGCTTTAGTAAAAAAAAAGTAGAAACAAACAATTACAGTTAATATGTCTGTTTGAGTGGTAATGGAATTTCTAAAGCAGTGGGTGGGGATATTCCCTCTATTGTTTCCATTGTTGGAGCTTGCTGAAACATCTTATCTCAATTTTTGAAATGGGTTGTATTTTTTTTTTAGTTTTGAAATAACGTGACCTTCGAATTTTGCAGCTGTGGCAGTTAATCCTGGACTTGTTTATGCTGTGGCTGAGGTACATTCAGTCATTGAGGACACATCGTCATCGCTTGGAAAGCGAACAAAGTTGAGAAGCATATTGAAAAATGAAGAAAAAAAGCCATTCATCATTATAGCATCTGATCTCGTTCCTGCACTTGAATCAAAGTGGGGGGTGAAGCTTGTTATCAAGAAAACTTTTCTTGGGGCAGCTCTTGAAAACTGCAGGTTTCGCTAAAAAAAAGACATAGTTAATAAATATTTTTTTTTTGATGGTGCGAAGTGCCAAAATGGCTTCCAATTGTTTGTTTGTTTAGTCCCAAAGTCTATAAAACTGCCAAATTAGTCCCCAAAATCTTTTAATGGGGGCTAAATAGTCAACCTTTTAAAGAGTCTTGGACTATTTCAGCCCATATTTAAAAAAATCTGAGGGCTAAATTCTGGATTAAAATGACTCCTTGCAAAATCAGAGGATCATTTTAACACTTATCTCATTTTTCATGTGATTGGCAAATTTTTTTTTGTTGTTTTTAAAATTGTGCCATAAGTCCTAAAGCTTGATCCGCTTGTTATTTGGTAGTAACTATTTTGAAGTCAAGTGATTTTTTTCACTAAAGAAAATTTCATGCTTCCATGCTTATGAAATAGGTACCTTCACCCTTTGGATGGGAAGGAATGCCCTGTTGTGATGGGGGGAGACTACATCAATACAGAGTCAGGAACTGGACTTGTTCATACAGCTCCTGGTCATGGTCTGGAGGACTATATGACTGGTTTAAAATATGGGCTATCAATACTTTCTCCTGTTGATGACAGTGGAAATTTTACTGAAGAAGCAGGACAGTTCAATGGTTTGAATGTATTAGGGGATGGTAATGTTGCTGTTGTTAAGTATCTTGATGACAATATGTTGCTTATTCTAGAAGAACCTTATAGTAAGTGTTTACTGTAAAATATAATTTAGGTTATTATTATGAAATGAAGACTGAAATTTGTGTGATTTAATATTCCCTACTCTTTGTTTGATGTTTTGGATAGAACACAAGTACCCATATGATTGGAGAACAAAGAAACCGACAATATTTAGAGCTACCGAGCAGTGGTTTGCTTCTGTTGTTGGGTTCAGGCAGGCTGCTATGGATGCAATTAACATGGTCAATTGGATTCCTCCTCAGGTACTGTTTTGGAACCTATTGTTTTTCACCTATAATTTTGTCCGTAGCAATTTTTTGTAGGGTGTAAAGTGTCAAAATAGTCCCCCAACTGTTTACGTGGGGCCATTTTAGTCCCCAGACTTTTCAAATTGAGGTTGAAATGATCCTCTCTAGGTATTATTTCAACCCATATTAAAAGAGCCTGGGACTAAATTGTAACTTTTATAAAAACTAAAACATCCTCATGCAAAGGTTAGAGGACTATTTTGACACTGTTCTCTTTTTGTAGGTGTTACCATGCGTATCAATGTCTTAACAGCTTTTTTATATACAACAGTGATTCTCTTTTAATATTTGACAGAAGGTTGTTATTTATAAACATAATTCATCTACTGCGCAGGAAACTTAGTTTGTTTTAGAAGTTAAAATTATGGATATTTTGGTTAACCATTTAGTTTACTGCTCAAAAACTAGATCAGTTCTTTAATAATATGTGTTTTAATGACATTTGTTGCAATTAGCAATTTGATACATTGGATGCATATTTCATTAAGTTTAAGAAGCTCATTTTTGCTCCAATATATTTATGAAGCTTGCAACATTTGATTTCTTACGAACCCTCAGTTTTTCCGGAATGTAGGAGTTTGAACTCCCAAACTTGCAATACCCTGGTGTTTTGGTTTTTGTCGAAGTATTATTGTTTTGAAGATCTTTAGAAATAAAGAAACATATATCCAAATCTGTAATATTCCTTACGAGTCATTAGTAAATTTATTGTTCCAAGTGCCGTAAACAGAAACTAGCATGAATGGTTATAAAAAGAACCAGGCTTGGATGGACTGATAAAGGAATGAGTTTATTCTAATGTTACCGTGTCGGAATTGATTATTCTTATTATAACGAATGTCATAGCGTGATACCAGTATATACTGAAGTCGTAACACATGCTGTGATGTACTTTATTTTAAAAAAATTGCACTGCTTTTATATGATTGTGGTATGTACGTGGATAATTCAACATTTGAAGAGAATTAATGTATCAAAAATCTATTTCAGTTAACCATAACATAAGTATTGTTCAGCATGAAAATTAAATATCAACAGACCCATTAAACCTAAATAAATCAAATTTATTTACTTTACCTAATGGTGAATTTAAATTTTAAATTATGTTTGGCAATAAATTATTAAGACCTTGTGATATAATAAATAGGAAATATGGTCAAGTATCTACTATTTTGGCTTGTTGGGCGGTGTAGTTAGAGGTGCGATTTTTGGAGATACAGAAAGCATTTCAATGGAGCTTAAAGTAAAATTTTGCAAGGAACTTGAGTATGAGAAGATGTTTTCGAAAGCTTATGCAAATCGATAAGGAACCCTAATAGTATATTAGATTATTTTTTACTTTTAATCTGGGATAATTCTCTACTCTTATGTGGAACGTAACAATGCCCCACTTATATAAGATATTTCAAAGTTATTTTTCATTCTTTAATTAACAGAAGCGGTTCAATACCATCAAGTGTTAGGCACCTAGATTCCACTTAACATGGGAATCACACGTCCTGTAACTTACTTAATCATGTTAGAAGCAAACGGGAGGCATTAGAGCCATAAATCCTTCCACAAACACGATCCTTGTTAAATTTTGCTGGTTCTAAAATCACTTGGTAGGAGGTTGTAACATCGAGGTCTCATGTTGAGATCAATATAGTAGCATATAGTCATCATCAACCTGAAGGCTTGGGCTGATGGCAAGGGCCAGTAGTAATGTTTTTGAAATTAAATCCTTATTTTTTAGTTTTAATGAGGCACTATTCTCCACTTATATATGAATCTTTAATAAATAAGGATCACTTTACTTTCAAACACAAGTGTTTTGGAGAATTGATAAATGGAAATTAATTGGATCAACTCAGCGCATTCTGTCACTTTTTGAATATCATCATAATCCAAAGCATATTACATTCAATATTTCGTCTTTTGACGAACTCTGAATACTTTAATTTAAAGTTAAATTATGGGTACCTCGATACATTAACATGAGCAGCCTGGCAACTTTAAGTCTTGAATATATTCTATCAATAAAATCTAATAAAAATTTGAAAGTTAATTGCTATTGCTAATGCAAGGTGTGTGTCAAGATGAACAATTTGCGATAACTTTCATTTTAGTAACTATTGTATTTTATTCTAGTATGAGTTTTAGCTTATGCAATTTCTTTTCGTGAATTATGTTTACAATGTTATCTTACAATGTGAATTGTTTTGTATTTATGATTTGCTAAAGGTTTTCTTTTGAAATCCTTACTTTTGCTGTTAACCCTTTGGAGACATGGCTTTTGGTCAAGTCCTACGATTGTTTTCTGACTTTGTCTGTTGGTTCTCTTCTGAAGTGTTTACCATAGAAACATGTAGCTAGGTCGTTGACATATTTCTGGTACGAGTTGTGTCATCATCTCTTACTTCTTTTTTTTTTAGTTAAATTTTGTTGCAATAACATGCTCTGCTTTACTGTTACTTCATTTTTCTGAAGCTGCATATATGTTTTTGTTCTTTTCTATTAACTCTATTATGTTGGAATTATGTCTGTTCGTAGGCAGAGAATAGAATAAATGCCATGACAGCCAGTCGTTCTGATTGGTGCATTTCAAGACAACGAATTTGGGGTGTTCCTATCCCAGTTTTTTATCATGTTGACACAAAAGAGCCATTGATCACAGAAGAGACTATCTCTCACATTAAGGGTGAGAAACCCCTATGGCTACCTTTAATATCTGCTCTCCTCTTAGTTTATGCAGCCTTGAGATGTTTTGACCGTGTCTCGTCTCACACATTATTCTTTGTTAGCCATTTTATTTGGAGTTGTTGTTGTTGTTGTTGTTGTTGTTATTATTATTATTATTATTATTATTATTATTATTATTATTATTATTATTATTTTTAATTACCTCTATCACTCTAACCATTTGTAAACAAGTTAGCTTTATCCTATTCTGTGCGTGAAACTATTGTTATTACAGGGTCTAGATTTGTCTAACAATTATTTCTGTGATCTGAACTTGAAACCTTCAAATTATACTAATGTATTTTCCACAATTTTGTCCAAATTAATATTTATGACGTGATGATATAAAAAGTTGTAGATTTATGGAGGAAAACTTCTTTTGGTTTTTCATTAAGCATATAACAACTATATATATACAACTCATACTAATCCTCATATAATTATAGGGAAATTCAAGTAATTTGATAAAAGGAAAGACATAAAATAATAAAGGATAACTAAGAGAGAATACTTTCTCCTTCTAAAATGTAACAACGGATACATGATTTCCTAAATCCTTGGTGGGTTCATGTGGTCCACGACTATTTGCATTTCACTACTCCCCCTCAAGTTTGGTTCTTTATGGTGTACACGTAGTTCTTGGTTTCTGATGGGAGCTATGGGAGACTTTAGTGGTGGAGTAGGTTCATTTTCATGTTGATTTTTAATAGTGGGGATAAGAGTGAGTTCATCGAGTATATAAGGGATGTGGCTTAAGGTTGCTGAATAGAACTCAAAATATGATATTATCTCGAACACTCCCCCTGAATGTTAGATTTGTGATAATATGATTGATTTTCAAAGAAGGTGATATCAATGGAGTAACATTTGTACCCTTTTTCTTTGAAGAATATTTGACAAAATTGCATTTAATTGACCTCAGATCAAGTTGGTTTGATATGGTTGATGTTGATGAAGAAATGCTATGCAACTAAAATTTTAAGTGGTAGGTTAGAGGTAAATGATTAAATGTGGGGGTAGGACTTTATGAGAGTGTTCAGATGTTTGTTAAAACTTAACATTTTACTAAGCATCTTATTTATGAGATATGTGAATGTGAGCATTGCATCCTCCTAGAAGTGTTTGGGTATATTATTAGTGAATAAAATTGAATGGGCTACTTCAAGGAGATGTCTCTTCTTTCTTTTAGCCACACCATTTTGTTAGGGTGTATCAACACAAGAGCTTGTATAAATGATACCTTTTTTTGGATAGATAAGAGCCAACAGTGGAGTTGTAGTAGTCTTTTGCATTATTAGTTTTGCAACTCTGAAGTTTCATATATGTTTTATTAGTTTTATTAGTGGAGTTATAGTTGTAGTAGTCTTTTGCATTATTAGTTTTGCAACTCTGAAGTTTGCTCTGAAATATGATGGTTTTATTAGTGGAGTTATAGTTGTAGTAGTCTTTTGCATTATTAGTGGAGTTGTAGTAGTCTTTTGCATTATTAGTTTTGCAACTCTGAAGTTTCATATATGGATAGATAAGAGCCAACAGTGGAGTTAGATTAGTTTTGCACTCCCTCTGTAGGATCATATTGCGGAAATTTTCAAACATGCTGATAGTTTCAAAATTTTTTCATGAGAAATGTCCAAGTGGTTTTGGTGTTATCACCAATGAATGTGATAAATCACCTAGCCCCATTGTATTTATTATTTTTGAGGGCCCCCATATATCACATGAACCATGGAAAATGGATGTGTTGGTTTTATTTTCGGCTTGGGTGAACTTGTCAAGTATATTTAGGAAGTTGATAAGTTTTACACTGATAAGAACCAGGTTTTTTGTTGATAAATAAATGATTATACAAATTTTCAAGCTCATAAAAATTAGGACGCCCAAGCCAAAAATGCCATAAAATAACTTGACACTCATGAGAAATAGACTCAGATTCAAGGCTTGACTCAAATGATTATGAATGATGGGGTGGTCCCTTTGAAGTGGCAATCACAGTGATCTGATAAAGTCCATGATGCATGTTAACACTATCAATCACCTTCCCCTAGTCTATCAACTGAAATTCACACAAATCAGGGTAGCATTTAGTATAATAATTCATGTAACGAGTAAGTTTGCTAATAGACAGTAAATTACAGTTAAGTTGAGGAACATAAATCACAGATTGAAGAATTAGATTCTTGGTGAGTTTCACGCTTTCTTTTCCTTCCACAGATGAAAGTGAGCCATCTGCGGTTCTAACTGCAGTATAATGTTTGCAAGAATGGAAGGATTGAAAAAGAATAATATCACCTATCAAGTGATCAAACATTTCAGAGTCCACTATCTAAGGTTGATTCTTTATGTTGAGAACAAGAGCAAATGAAAGACTACTCTGATGTTCTAGAAAGCTGGTATAAGATACAAAATATTGTCTCAGAAGACTTTAGAGAGCTTCAAGTTCTTTCTTGCTACAAGGACTATGTACATGAGGCTTATCTTTCTTTGATACTGTGTTTGCTTGATTTTCTCCATCACCTTTCACTTTGTTAAGCATTCAATCTGCAGGCTTTCCATAAAAATTTCAAAACTTCTCCTTTGGAAGACCACACTTCTTGTAATATTCGCACCATGATATTTTCCTATTTAATCTTGTTCTAAGATGATTTGTGGGGGTATAGAACTAAGTTATCACCATTTGATATGGTGGGATTACCTGTCATCATGCATTTCTTCCTGCTCTCTTCCCTTTGTACTTTGAAAAAGGCTTTAAGAATTGATGGAAGAGGCTTGGTTTCCATGATTTTTTCCTTTGACTTCATCTAACTCTTTGTTGAGTTCTAGAATAAACTTGATGATTTTTCTCTGTTCAACAATTATTTTATAAAGAGCAGAGCCTTGTGAGCACCTCCATGTGTATATGTCATACATATCTAGTTAGAGCCAATATTTAGAGAGTGCTTTGAAGTGTTGAGCAATATTCAACTCAGCGTGTCATGGTTGTAATCTTGTTTCGATGGAAAATAACTCATAGATGTTGTCAACATTTGACTGGGTTTCTCTTGCGACATCTCATATTTCTTTAGCTCGTTTATATAAAAGAAAGTTATCTCCAATTTTCGTGATCATGGAGTTGACAGGCCATGATATGACCATGTGAATTTCAATTTTCCATGTATGATGTTTAGAATAAGTGATTTTTGGTGCAGGGTTTTCTTTGGTGAGATGATCTTTTTTACCACATGAACACATGTTGAGACCATTGGGGGAAATTGTTGCTATGTAGTCTGTGATTGGTGATGTAAGAAGAAAATTCAAATGCAACAAAACTAAACATAATACGCTTAGGTTATGAAGTAACTTCTGACGAGGAAGAAGTGGCTTTTATGCCATATTTGTTTGTCATGATGAGGTAGGGAGAAACTGTTTGTTGTCAGACAGGATTTTTACTAGTGTGAGAAATTTTCTGTCATCGACACATGATTTTTCTGCTACTGGGAGTAATTGTCTGTCGCAACACAATATTTCTGTTGAGTACCGTGGAGGCTAGACCAGGTACTTTCGGCGGGCTGACCGCAAGCTCCTCTAATTGCTCGGCAAGGAGCAACTAGGTTAGCCGGAAGAGGCCGAAAAAGAGAGCTGCCACATTGATAACAAGAGAAGTATTCCACAGTTTAGGGAGAAGAGGCTGATCAACCAAATGTTCTAGATGATCGTGGTATCCAAATGATCAATTTAGGGAGGGCTGATAAAGGAGGAGGGGCCGATCGATGCAGTGATCTAGATGCATGAATTGATCGACACAATGATCTAGAAGATCTATTTAGGCACAAGAGCTGATAAACGTAGTGATCTAGATGATCGATCTAGTGCATGAGCCGATCGATGCAAGCAATGCAGATGAAGATTCAATGCCGACGATTCAGGGATGAAGATGAAATTTCGACGAGTGATCCAGGCGCACGAGTAAAGACCAGAGCCTGCCAGGATTGCACGAGATGATGATTTTTGCTCGGTAGGAAGAAGCCTGACATAATTCGATTGTCTGGATGGAAGCAGGAAGACGGTTGCAGGGTTCCAACTGTAGGGAGGGGTTTCAACCAAGAAGGAGAGAGCTTGGGTTTCTTTTCTCGCTTTGATATGATGTGGATTTTTGGAGGAATAACTCTCTTGTTTTTTCATTAAGTATATAACTCTCTCTCTCTCTCTCTCTCTATATATATATATATAGATAAAACTAAGACTAATCCTCATACAATTAGAGGGAAATTCAAATAACGTGATAAACAGACAGAAATAAACATAATAAACGATAATTAAGGGAGAATAACTTCTCTCCCTCAAATATAACAAAGGATCCATGGTTTCTTAAATCATTGGTTGGCCCATGCGGTCCACGATTTTTTGCATATCAACAAGAGTAAATCTATATCTATTCACTATTCCCTGTTTGTCATGTAATACTGTGCCTCCATCTTTGTCACATTATCATTTCCACGTTAAACTTGCTTTTATGTTTCTTTTCCTTGTTAGTAAATGTTCAAGAAAATAGCTAGTGTTTCTGTGTTTAAAAGTAATGGCCATCAAGCTTTATCCCAACTATTTAGCTTTAGCTTTATGAATTCTTTTTTTCCGTTTGTACTGCTGAGTTTTTAAAGGAGTTTTACTTGTCCTTCACAAATCTTTTGATCTCATTCAATTCTTCCAAACCTGTCTCTCTCCTCCCTCATACTTTGACAAAAAATGGTGGCCAAAGTGAAATTTTTTTTTGTTTGTGCAGAGTTCATTTAACCACTAAACTTTGCAAAGGAAACTGCATTTCATGTTGTATAACTACTAAAATAATAATTATTTTTCAAATACTTAAATTTTGGGAGTTAATCATTCTTTATAGATGACGTTTTTGGTCCCTTTCTTTCAATGATAATGTAAACTGATTTCACTGCACTAATTTTTAATCATCTTGTACCTTGGCTTCATGAGGATTGGGAAATTTTGCCATTTCTATATAAGTTTAATTAATTATTATTTTTAAATGTTTTTTGGGTACTATATTGTTTCAATTACGTACAACTTGCCTGAATACTTGATGCATGACTGTGTTAAAATTGTTTGACGGTCATCATGCTTAACTTGCAGCTATAATTTCCAAGAAAGGTAGTGATGCATGGTGGTACATGTCAAATGAAGAGCTTCTCCCTGAAAAATTTCGTAGCAATGCATCAAAATATCAAAAGGGAACTGATACAATGGATGTTTGGTTTGATTCTGGTATGTGCGTAATAAAATGCACTTTTTTATTGATAGCTATCAGGACAAATAATACTTAACTTGGAACTTTTTTTTTTTTTTTTTGTAATATTTTAGTTGTCACTACATAGTTGTTTATTAATAATTAGGTGGTTTAGATGTCGGCATAGCCTTTTGCTTGTAGGGTAACTGGGCATTGTTTGTCTGTCTCATTTTTTAATAGAAGATGGGTTTCTTTCCATGCAATGTGATAAGTTAATTTTTCTGAAAACTAGTGCAATCAGGTCTTGGAAAAAGGATTATCATTAGGAATTTCTATCAGTAAGAAAAATTACACTCTTCATCAGCAAACATAAATTCAGCCTATCAAATCTTATCCCACACAGCAACTTCACCGTTTGGCTGTTTAGCTCAATTTTGTCACAATCTGGCGTTTGTAGAGAAAAAATTACCATGCTCAGCACAAGTGGAGATTTATTTTTTCCATTCTTATTTTGAAGTATCTTTCGTTATGGGCTGGTATAACTTATACAACACCTAATTGGGACATAATCAAAGTACAAACTAAATTGTGTAGAACATAAAGATTAAATTTGTCAAAGTTTCATGCCAACTAAATCATTTATCAGTAGTTTTATGGTCTTTGTTTTGAAGGTCTGATTCTAAATTGTTTGATTGTCAAATTTTAAATGAACGAGAAAATGTGATCATCATATCTGAATTACTAACAATATTGAATGAATAAAGCTATAGAACTTATCAACCCTCCAATCATAGAGACTAAGGGAAAACTCGTAAACATATTTTTTGTGATTTATCTCCATTACCAAATAATTTATGTGAAAGCTATATGCATACTTCTATTAAATTCAAATTTGAATGAGTGCCCTTAACAACATGCAATGTTAATGGTGTGAACTGAATGGAATGGCATCATTCTAGGATTCCTAGAAGGTTTTTAAGGATCAGATTCTAGAGTTGAGATTCTGGAGAATGGGGAGAGGAAATGAATATGTGAGGTTCATGTAGATCAGAAGGATAAATGTTCGTTACGGCTGCCTCACATTAGTACAGCGGTTCAGTGGGTCCATTAGTACAGCGGTTCAGTGGCTCCTCTTGGCTACTGCGCTTCACTGCAGCTCTTCGCAACAGCTCTTCTTCACAACAGTGCAGTGCATAACACCAGCTAGTAGAGTAGATGCAGTCCTCTTTGTTGCTGACCTGCTGCCATTGCTATGAATGTTTTCTCTGTTTTCTACTTTACAGCCACTGCATTTTTCCTGTTTGAATCCTTTTAATGGGAAAACCGTGCACATCACTTATCATTGTTGACATATGTAGTTATCAACTGGTTTTGCATTTTTTTCCTTTTATCTATCTTATCGTATTTTCTATTTTTTTTTTATCATAATGTCTAATAGGTGTTGAGTTTACTGACTTAATGTTACATTGCTCGTGGAGAATACTTTCTTTTCATTTTAGAAGTATTGGCTGCCTAATAACGTTGTAGTTCGCCATCATTTATTATAATGCTTTGAAACCTGAGTCACTAATTTTGTATTGGGGAAATGTTTGAAGTATAATGTGCTAGTGTCTATTTTTTCCATCATGTATTGTTATGGCATTGTTTGTAATTGTTTTTATTATTTTGTAATTCACCAGGCAGACCACCATTATGTTTATATCATGCTTTAAAATCCAAACCATTATATATAATAGATTGACCGTTGTGCTATAAATTTTCATGGTTGAAACATTAAAAATCTAATCTTTAACATCCCATTGTTGCCATCTGTATATTCCACAAATATTAGGCTGTTTTTAATATGTTCTGTGCATTGATTTTCTACAAGATGAATTTTTAATTTTCTAAAGTCTCAATAAACAGTCACAACTTGTCTTTTATGTCGTGACTATCAAATGTTTATATTCAATAAGAAGACACCTTATGTAGATTTTATCAATTCTTCTTCACTGGCAAACTCCTTTGCTTCATATTACTGAACTTTTTCATATAACAGTTTCATTATTTGATCCTCCTCAGGATCATCTTGGGCCGCAGTCCTAGGGAAAAGAGAAGGTCTGAGTTTACCTGCAGACCTGTATCTGGAAGGCACAGACCAACACCGGGGTTGGTTCCAGAGTTCTTTGCTTACAAGCGTTGCTACAACAGGTAACTTTTAGACACACGTGAACTTAACTTCAGGCACATGTAAATTTAGCAATGTTTGATGTTTGGTGAGTAGTGTATGCTTATGTGAGTGTTTTTTGGAATTTTATTCCTCTATGAAAATATAGGGTTTCTTTAGTGAATTCTACGCACAAAACAAGGCCTTTTCTATTCACATCACATTTGTACGAAGACGGATATGATCAAATGCTTCACCATTGACACATTGTTCATATGAGTGTAAAGATACAATCCATGCATTGCTTGATACACAATATTCAGGCTTTTTCCTGTGTAGAGTAAGCTACATTTAGTTATCTCTAGTTTTTGACCTTTTAGCTATTGGGCCTCATTACTCACAGAAATTCCCAATTATATCCTATAAGTTTTTCTAAAGTATCTGTATAGGTTATGCTTCATTAACTTATAACCTCACTAAAAATTAATATGAAGATAAATTATCCTTTCTAAAGGGCTTCTTTTAACTTTCGTAGTTATCTATTTTTCTTGTTGGTCCATTCCCTCTTCTTTATTATCTTCTTGTCATTCCTCTCTTTGTATATGATGTTTTGCTTGTTCCACCCCCTTGATTCTCTATTGCAACAAATAAGTGTGGGGTGACTGTCGCATGAACAAGAGAGAACCTTGACACAACCATTAAAATTTAATAAGAGATGCAATCATACTTTTTTGAATTTGAAAGGCTTCATCTCTATTCCTTTTTTGTTTTATAATTCTGCGAGTGTTATTTACAGTCATATTTTTCTCTTTAAGCACCTAACGCAGGAGCGTCTCTCACACTGACGCGAGTCATCCGTAGAGAGAAGTGAGATCACGTCCCGCATGCGGGAAATCCCGCGAGTGCTTTGCTTAGACTAAACCAGTCCAGGTTTTTTCCCTTCTGATGAGTCAGCTGATTCTCTTGGGCCACTCCTAGCTATTCTCTTATTATATATTTGTATTTATGATATTTTAGGTTTAGTTTTTGGGTGTTTTGTATATGGTAAGCCGCCATCTTTTTCTTTTGAGGGCTGTATCCTAGGATTCCAGGTGGTGCTTCGACTGCATCTTGGTCTCAAAGTGGTGTGTATTTTTTCGTTACCCTCCCATTTCATGTCATATCAGACATATTCTATGATTTATAACTCAAAGGGACGTACTATCAATCACAACTGTAATATAATTGTGCTATTTGACAGCAAACCAAGAAGTCAAAGGTTTCTGGTTGTAATTGCTTCTTTTGTTGAGCTTACTGACCCAACCACACAGACAAAAGTCTTAAACCTTGTTCTCACTGACATAGATTATTTTGGGTATAAATGTAATAGCATACCTGACATGATATTGATTTCATGTGAGCTTAAGTTAACATTAAAATTTTCACTCTTTGATAAATAGTCTTGGAGGGCATATTAGTTTTTGCTCTTAACTTGTGTATTTTAAAATTTTTTTATATTTTGAATTCTCTTAGATTTTATGATAGATTTATCTAGCTGATGTCACATTCAACACGACTCCATCGGAAAAATTGGGATTAAATTGCTTATTTTACAATTTGATTAAATTTAATTGCTTAAGCATTAAAAAAATTGTTAATCGTGCCAGCTCCAGCCCCATTAGGAGGAGGATTGGATTAGAGGCTCAATATTATCAACTCCAGCCCATATAAGTAGGAGGATCATATTAAGGTGTGAGGCTTACGACTTTGTCTTATAGTCAAGATGGCCCGCTTGAGAGCTTGTTTAGTTTAATCATGTTGAATTTTTTTTTTTTTTTGTGAAAGTATAACATTTCATACAAAATATATGATTTGCATGCATCTTAAGGTTGATTATAATTACCTTAAGCTTATATTCTTCCCGTGTAGTAATTTCAACTGCTCAAGTGAATTAAGACAAGCGACAAAACACATGTGTGTGTAATTTTTATTAATTATTTTAAAATATTTAAATTTTGAATATTTACATGAATATATTATTTATCAAAATATATCCAAGTTTTAATTGCATATTTTACGGTAGCTTTCTGCTCATTATTAAGGATATTCTGGATTCATTGGTGAGGGGCTCAATTTGGAAACTGATTTGTAGTTTTATTTATATTTCTCTTTGTATAGTCTAAAATTAGGTGTAATTTTTGAAACTTTATCTTTTCTTGTACGACAAGTTTTGCTGCATGTGGATTTTCTAATCCCAACGGGTTCCACGTGAGATGAATTTTTTTGCTATAAATAGAGGAGAGGTTTGGTTCAACTCACATTTGATTAAAACCTCTTTTAATTCTTAGGCTTGTTGAGGGATTTGAGCTGTCCACTTGTGGATGGAGAGTTTTGCTTGTAATTCATTTAGATTCCAAGTTTCCCAAAAATTTTTTGTAAGTTTAATATGACCATCCAATTTGTTTATTTTAATTTTACAATTACAAATTAACATAAGCATTAATTTTAGTTTAATTTTATAATTTCTTTGTTTAGTATTTTATTCAAAGTTTATTTTAGGCTCTTTCATTTTGCAGAAATCGAGTTTTAATTTACTTTTAGACAGTCTCCCGTTGTTGTCCCCATATAGAGGGCTACATTGGGAGTTAGAACATACCCACTACATTAAGAAATATGTGCACGGTCAGTGTCGTGAGAAAGAAAAAGCTTGCATGGGGTATCTGCAAGTAGATTTCAGAACTCACATATTTTTTCGTTGCTTTGGGAGGCTTCACTTACATGTTTCCCTTGCGACACTGAGAAAAACTTACTCTAATTTCGATTGTAGCGCCAAACACACTATAAAAAAGATCGTGTCGCAAGCATCACATACGATTGTTCCCCGCAATGGTGAGAAAATTTCTTGTTGCGCCAAACCCATCATAGTTAGTATTTTGGGGTTTAGAAAGCAACCATTTTATACCTTATTGTGATAAGCCAAACAGATGACATCAATACACATATTTCAAAGCAATTTTTTTCTTGTTTTTTATGGTGTTTATTTGCTAGAGAAAGAAATGCGAGAGAGAAAGAGAGTGATTTCTCTCTCTCGGTTTAGAGAGAGAATGAATGGGTTGTCTAGGTGGTTGGATTGCACTTTTAGACAGTCTAGGTGGTTGGATCACATACGATTGCTAGAGAAAGAAATGCGAGAGAAAGAGAGTTTTAATTTACTTTTAGACAGTCTCCCGTTGTTGTCCCCATATAGAGGGCTACATTGGGAGTTAGAACATACCCACTACATTAAGAAATATGTGCACGGTCAGTGTCGTGAGAAAGAAAAAGCTTGCATGGGGTATCTGCAAGTAGATTTCAGAACTCACATATTTTTTCGTTGCTTTGGGAGGCTTCACTTACATGTTTCCCTTGCGACACTGAGAAAAACTTACTCTAATTTCGATTGTAGCGCCAAACACACTATAAAAAAGATCGTGTCGCAAGCATCACATACGATTGTTCCCCGCAATGGTGAGAAAATTTCTTGTTGCGCCAAACCCATCATAGTTAGTATTTTGGGGTTTAGAAAGCAACCATTTTATACCTTATTGTGATAAGCCAAATAGATGACATCAATACACATATTTCAAAGCAATTTTTTTCTTGTTTTTTATGGTGTTTATTTGCTAGAGAAAGAAATGCGAGAGAGAAAGAGAGTGATTTCTCTCTCTCGGTTTAGAGAGAGAATGAATGGGTTGTCTAGGTGGTTGGATTGCAAGTGGGAGAGTTTTGGAGAGCTTGCTATATGCAGATTTTGCGTGTGGGTGATGAAAGATTGTGGCAGCAAGGTTCAGGCAGGTGGGCTTATTTTGCGAGGCTACTTATGGTGAGTGGGGTTTAATTGAATGTGGGGAATCTAAGAGGATAGAGAGAAGCTTCTCTTTGTTTAGAGAAAGCATGGGAGAGGAGGCGAAGAAAAGCCTATGGACTGTCAGATTTATTATATGAATCGAAGGAGGTCACTGACTATCCTTGCAAACGAGAGAGAGGCAAATGATGGGGTGTTTGTCCTGTCGCGATTCATAGAGGCATTTGACTGGGTGGGGCACATAATAAGGAGCTGGCTTGTTGCTTGGTATGGGAGAGGAGGTTGGGTTTATTTCGTGTAGAGGCAAAAAGAAGCGAGAGAGAACCGGATGGAGATGAGAGATATGAGGGGCTTTTTGCAAATTTAGAGAGAAAAATGAAAGATAGGGGTTGGTAGTTATGGGCTTGGAGGAGAATTTGAAAGAATGAATGTGGGGACTGATTATGGGAGAGAGGAGAGGAGAGGTGTTTTTGGCAAAAAATCAAACAATTCTCCCACCCTTTTTTCATCCAGGTTCATTAGACTGGGCCTTATTATTATTATTATTATTATTTTGGTTTTATGATAAGGAGATATAGGAGAGAAAAACAAGCTTTTGAGAGAAATAACTCCCAACTTTCCTTGTTGATTTATGTTTGTCACGAACTTTTTTTTTGCCTTTACAATTTTTTTTATTTGCAGTCTTGTATCAAAAGTATAAGAAGAGAAGTTTATTTTTGGAAATGTTTTAACATCTAGTTATTGCCCAATTTATTTTTAAATAAGTTTTCATTGATATGAGAATTAATGAAGGAAAATTTAAATTTGAATATTATGAGATAATGTATAGATATATAAAAATATATTAACTTATATATTTTTATTAAATATATAAATTTATATTAAATTTACATAATACTCAAATAGTATATGATTATTTGATCCCTCGACACACATTAGATAAAGCTCGATTTAGTTGCGAATAAGCTTGTTTTAATTGCCTTATTGATCTATACACACTCACATAGTTTGTTCTACGAACATAAATCATTTAAATGTTTCAACGACGATCGAAGTGATTTTAAGTTTGATCACTTGACGACATATTTGATTGTTGTCGATGTTGTTATGTGCAATCAACTTACCTAATGTAGTGGATGTATATGTCAATAATTTTCCTTAACAAATATGATGTGTGTTTGAAGCAGTTCATATTTGTTGCAAAATATCTGACCATTGTCT